AATTAACACAAAGCTTTAGCCTGTTATAGCCGCAGGAGAGAAACTTGATGTGTGAATCAAACATAAACTGGAGGTGCGCTTTTATTTTGAAAAGAGAACGCCATAACTTGTGCTGTGGAGCGCTAACGATGTCATTTAAAATATTAGTTGCCTCTGTGAGTGGCTGCCGCTCAGCTATTTTTCTGTCTGTGAAAACCCGCCTACTCCTGCCTGGGGTCCAATCAGACACTGACATTTTAAGTTAACTTCCATTGCAATCAAACTCTGTCAGAGAGTTTGATAGTAAAATTAATCTGGTTGTGTGTGTTGTTATGGTGTCCTGCAAACTTTGCTTTAATTCTACTTTTTTCTAATTAATCATAAAAAATCATAGTCCGACAGAGAGTCATGGAACAGGAAGAGCAGGTTTCCTGAAGAAAGAGGAAGTTTCCAGCCTGCAGTGAATAAAAATAGTTCAGACTGCTCATTTCAAGGCATTAAAGGTTTAAGGAATAAAATCTAAACATTTTGAGTAATTGGATAAAACCCAGAGTAAAATACTTAAATTAATAATGATATAATGATAACTTATGATTAAACCAATAATTAATATTGGTTTAACCAATGGTTGATGTTGGTTTGATTATAAGAATATTTACACGTACTCTTAAACTTATGGAAGTACTTACAGGTGAAAGAAGTAACTGTAACATGGTGTCAAATAATTAGAATAATGGATTATTCTTGGTTTCTTTTCAGAAATGTCTGTAATAACTCACATCATGATTATAATAAGGGTAACTAATAAGTAATGGTTATAAAATTATAAATGAATGCTAAATCAGAGAAACTAAAAGGTTATAAATGTGATTTTGACATTGAACTTGAAATGGTGTAAAATGTGTAACTGTAACTAAAGGTCACTGATGTTGTGTTGGAGGTAGATGGTAGGTGAAAGGTCAGGGAGAAAGAGGAACTGATAGGAGAGCAGAGGTGACCAAGACATTAGGTCATCAGAACAGACATCATGTCTCCAAGATGGTGATGGATATGAGATCATCTGTCCAAGCAGTCAGTACAGAGGAAACAGGTGCAGAATTCAGACAGGGATCTGAAAGTGCAGCTCAGGAGAAATAAAGTTCATCTGTAGTCTGAGGCTAACTAAAGAACAGTTGACGTCAAGTAAAAACGTCCATGAGGAAAGAAAGTGTGTGGCTGCTGATAAGAATAAAAAGACACCAGATAGAAGGTTCGGGGTTCTTTGTTCCGCAGCGTTCGAGTCGAGCACACATGGAGATGCAGAGTCAACGGAGGGCTGCGTGATGATACCCCGGGACAACTGCTCGCTGCACAAGAAAGGAACAAGATCCGTTTACCCACAACCCGGGATTCTGATTCGACTGCGGCCCCAAACTCAACCCCAAGGATTACAACGATGCTGCAGTGGACATGGGGAATATACAAAGATCTTTTGTGGATTAAGAACTGAGTTCGTTGAGGATTCTCACCAGTTCAACTTTGGATCTATTCTAAAAGGATTCTGCCAAGACAAAGACAGGACTCCATCCATGGACGTTAAAGTTATCTGCTGCCAAAGATCGTCTCTGCATCTGGGTTTGAGTAATACTGCCTCCCCCCAAAGCCTCTATTTAGATTTAGACACAGTGTAGGGTTAGAATTAGGTGAGGTTTCTAAATTTTCTTAAAATCTATTGATTACTTAATCCTTTGTTAGTTGCTGTATGTCTTTTTTCCCCTGCTAAAGCTTTCTAATAAAATACTAAAGTCTAGTTTGGTGTCGTGGACAGTTAAATTAATTGAGTCAACTAGATTTAATTCTTCTGATTAATGTGAAATCAATGTTAATGGTCCTAGTAAATCAGGGTGGCTTCGTACGTTCTTTAGTTCAGATAAATAATGACCCTGGGACTTATTCCTAGTCTCTAAATTATCTAAGTTATAACAAGTGCACGTTAATACAGAGAAAGAGCTGCCGTGAACAGACGTGGTTTATGAGCTCGGACACCGGCGGGGCTACTCCGATGTCTGAATCATAGACTGAAGCGGGTCATAACGTCTGGATGAAGGTAGTTAGAGCTTAGACGAATCTTTCTCGCTCCCAGCTTAAACAAAAGTTCTCTACATTCTTATTTGCGGTAATACCCAGGAATTAGAGGCTTTTCGGACCCGTGAGATGGAGAGCTGGTCAGTAGTCAGTCCGCTGGAGGTTAGGAGGAGTTAGGGGCGTGGCTGAATACTGTGGATTAACAACGTGTAAGAGAGTTTGACTGTGAATGTAGAGAGTTTGTAAGTTTTGGCCCACGGGGCCTCTCATAGTTTTGTAATTGTTATTGTATACGAAAACGGGACTTGTTCTGAAGGCTAATTGGAGCTAATGCTAGTGGGCCTGTACACATGTGTGTGAGCTAGCTGAGGAGCTAGCTGAAGAACAGCGGAGTTCATTTGAACTTGTATTTTGCACTTTTTAAGAGAGTTCTCACTCAAAGGACATTGTTGTGTTTTCTTTATTTTATACACGTGATGTTTTTTATGGGTTTGTTGAAAAACCAGATAAATTATATCTTCATGTGAAACTGAGTACCGAGGCATAGTATTAAAGGAGCCTTGCGCCTTTAATACTATGTTTGATATTTCAGTTTGATATTGAGAGAATAGTTGTTTATGCAAGATGTAAAATATTATTGTTCTACTGAAACAATGGACATTGTTAAAAGCTAAAATGCTTAAATGTTAAAATATATTTCACATTTTTATTTTGATAGTTAAATACAAAAGGTCTCAGAAAAGAATTTTTGAAAGCGATTGTGTAAATATTATTCTTTTTCTTAGAAGCAACTGTTTACAAATTCAGGCTTGAGTTTGTTCATTTGATTTTATTATAAAACATTTAATATCAGATTAGGCCATTATTATTCAACTTCTAATTCTCACAGATCATCCAGATCAAAAGTCTGTGACCAATTCAATGAACATCTGGTAGATATCTCATGAAAATAGCATGCTAAACAATAGTTCCCATATAGAATTTCATCAGAATGAAAAGAATTTGCAGCATCCAATATATTAACAAATCCTGCAGTAAAATGAAGAATACTTTTCAGTGAGTGAAGTCAGCTCTACTTTCTTTCCTGTGGCTTTAATAAACCTACTGGACTTTGAACATCAATGATATATTAATATGTGTTTATAGCAACATGCATAATTAGTTTATGGCCAGCACAGGTGTTGTTAATTCATGAAGAGTCAGTCCTTGTACATAAATATACATATTTCTTTATGTGTTATATTTCATGTTTTGAAATGTAACGCTAAAACTCTTTAGACTGTCTGATGTTGGTTCCCCATCTTTTTTGCCCCAAATATGGAAGGAACAATGAAGAACTTGAGAAAATCCAATTTTCCTTTCAAAAGTGCTGTTGGTACTTTGCTTTTTATGTAACATCAAATACAAAGACAGATTAAAATATAGTTTTCATAAAGTCTTTGCTTCAACTCCTTAATATTAAATATAACAGATGATAAACCAGTCATTATAATCTGTACTGTGGATTCACTAATCCACAGTGTTTTTTATTTTTTTCTTTTCACTATTGTAATGTACCGTTTTTATGTTATCTTTCACTGTGTTGTAAAATCTGTTGTTCTGAAGTATGAAAAACATCAACGTTATTTTGCAGTGAAGCCATGAGCCTCAGCTTAGTGACTTAACTTTTCTCAAATCAAATCAGATTATGTCACTAGCTCATACAGACTGATTAACAATAAAAGAATGGAAGTTTCATTCTGGCTGTTACAAGCACAGCAGATTAAAATCCTTTACAACACTGATTCTATAGTAAAATCACCAAAATGGCAAGGCCATTATATTTTCTATGATATTACCAACAAACTGTCATGCATTTTGAAGACTAAGCACGTTAATTAATAAGGTAGCCCATTAGCTTGTTGTGTTCCATTACCTTTCTCTAACTGAGTTCAGTTCTGTCTTTTTCTCTTCCAGAGCATTTCTGGAGAAGGAAAACAAAAAAAAAATGTTTTGCACCGAAGCTTGGAGAATCACATTAAGAAAGTATTTGTAAGTATTTGTATTTGTTCTAATGTTACTGTTTGTCTTTAACATTTCTCAAGATAACCCTATTCTGTGATCAATTCATAGAAAGTGTGATTGGCATTTAAAGAAACCAATTCTGTGAATCACTGACCTCTCCTGAAGGAGTTCATCCTGGGTTTCAGTCAGACTGTTTACAAAACAGACAAAAGTTCTTTACAAAACAATTTGTTGTAAAATTGTCTTTCATAATTTTTAAATCAGCATGACCTGCAATATGTTATGTGAACTTTTTGGCTTGTTACTGAAGTATACCTTTGATTGACTGATTTAAATTCTTTTTCTTTTTGTTTTAGAGTGTTTCTAGAGAAAGAAAAAAGACAATTTTAAAAGAATATGGAAAGCATTCAGTCTTAAAGTTTCAAGTTTAAAAACTGTCTATCAGTTCCAAACAATGTTTTCTTGATTGTGATCAGCAGCAACAGATCCAGTAAAATACTGACCTCGCCTGGTGAAGTTGGTTTTCAGTTTCTTTCTGGCTGATATAAAAAAACAACAGGATAAAATCCTTCTAAACACTGATTCTGCTGTAAAGTCATCAAATGTTGATGTGTTTTTTATTTTCTATGACATCATCAGCTGTTAAGCATCTTGAAGACTAAACTGTAATGTGGCCCATTGACTTGTGTGAACAGTACCTTTCTCTAACTGAGCTCAGTTCTTTATTTTTCTTTTCCAGATCAGTTCTGGAGACGAGAAACAAAATCAAAATTTGTTCCACAACTAAATTCATCAAGAAACTTTTAATTTGTTCTAATATAACCTATTGTCTTTACAACTTACTTGAGATAACCTGATTCTGTGATCAATTAATACAAAATGACATTTAAAGAAACTGACTCAGTGAATCACTGACCTCGCCTGAAGGAGTTCATTGTTGGATTTAGTCAGGCTGTTTAAAAACAAAACAGATTAACAACCTTTGACATTATACATTATGTTGTAAAATCACCTTTCATTTATTAGTCAATATGACCTGTAATCTGTTATGTGAGGTCTTTAGCTTGGTGAACAATACCTTTGATTGACTGAGTTCAAGTCCCTTTCTTTTTGTTTTAGAGTGTTTCTAGAAAAAAAGGCATATTTAAAGCTTTAAGTTTAAAGTCTCAAGCTAAAAGAAATGTCAAGCAAATCCAAATAATGTTGTCTTGATCAGCAGTGACAGATCCAGTAAAATACTGACCTCGCCTGTTGAAGTTGATTCTTAATTTCACTCCGGCTGTTATAAAATGACAACAGAATAAAACTATTCAAAACACTAATTGTAAATAATCAAAATCTCAATATGATTTATATTTTCTGACAACATCATCATCAGCAAACTGTTAAGCATCTTGAAGACTAAATTTGATTGTAGCCCGTAAGCTTGTTGTGTGAACAGTACCTTTCTCTAACTGAGCTCAGTTCTTTATCTTTCTCTCCCAGAGAAGTTCTAGAGAAGAAAAACAAAATCAACATTTGTTTTGTGACTAAGGTTCAAACCTCATAAGGACTTTTGTATCCATTTTATTAGGGCTGTTTGTCTTTAAAATTTCTTAAGATAACCTGATTCTGTGATAAATTAATACAAAGTGTGGTTGACTTTTAAAGAAAATGATTCAGTGAATCCTGCGATGGACTGACAACCTGTCCAAGGTTTATCCCAGCTCTAGCCTGTTGGCAACTGCAGATAGGCACCGGCGCCCCTCCTGACCACGATGGGATATGGGTGTAAGAAAATGGATGGATTCAGTGAATCACTGACCTCGCCTGAAGGAGTTTATCCTGGGATGTTGCCAGACTGTTATAAAAACAAAACAGATTAAAATCCTTTATGGCACACATTCTGGTGTAATATCATCTTTCAGCAGTTCCAAGTCAACATGACCTGCATTATATTATGTGATGTTTTTAACTTGTCAGTGAACAGTACCGTTGATTTACTGCTTCCAATTCCTTTTCTTTTTGTCTTAGCGTGTTTCTACAAAAAGAAAATAGCATAATTTCAGCAAAACACTTCAAGCTTAAAGTCTGAAGTGAAAAAAAATTCTAACACTTCCAAACAATGTTGCCTTATCTGCAATCAGCAGCAACAGAGCCAGTAAAGCACTGACCTCGCATGTTGAAGTTTATTCTGTGCTTCATTCCGGCTGTTATAAAAGGGCAACAGATTAAAACCCTTCAAATTCTGATTCTGCTGTAAAATTACAAAAATGTCAACATGTTTTTTTATTTTCTATGGCATCATCAGCAAACTGTTATGCCTCTTGAAGAATAAACTTGAATGTGGCCCATCAGCTTGTTGTGTGAACAGTACCTTTCTCTAACTGAGTTCAGTTCTTGTCTTTCTTTATCAAGAGCAGTTCTGAGGAAGGAAAACAAAATTTGTTTCGCAGCAAAGCTTGGAAAATCATATCTATAAATTTAATAATGCTAATTTCATCTTTACAATTTACTCCAGATAACCTGATTCTGTAATCAGTTAATACAAAATGGGATTGACATGTAAAGGAATTACTCAATATTTCACTGACCTCGCCTGAAGGAGTTCATCCTGGGTTTCAGTCAGACTGTTATAAAAAGGACAACATATTAAAATCTTTTACAGCACACATTCTGTTGTATAATCACTGAATATCTGACAGTTTATATGTCCACATGACCAACAATACGTATGACATTTAAGAATGAATATTACAGTTTTGGAAAGCTGTCTTTTGGCTTGCTTGTTAACAATACCTTTGATTGACAGACTTGAGTTCCCTTTCTTTGTCTTCCTGAGCAGCTCTGGAAAATAAAAAAACAAACAGTTTTTGTTTTTGGCTAAACTTGGAGTCTCACATTTAAAAGGTTTATATTAATTTCAAACAAAAGTTTAATTAAGATTTTGAAAACTGATTCAGTAAAACACTTTATAATGTATTTTTGTCAGGCTGATATATTTCTGTAAAAACAAATCCATTTCCAATAACTGTATAATGGTCCATAGCCCTTTGTTCTGTCTCCTATTGTTGAATTATGATTTGTTTTGTCTTACTAAAGATTTAGTAAAATAGAATATCTAGGGTCTCATGTACAAAAGGAATAGATACTGTTTGTGCACCTGCCCATTAGTTTCACAGGCTATCATTTTCAAATTACTATGATTGTTCATGCGCCACCAAATTTTTGTAACTTTTAACATTTTTCAACACAAAAACACAAAATCATGGTGGGGGATGCCCTAGACACCCTACCATCTGCCATTTTTTAGGGAAAACCCTAATGTTTTTATACCAATAACAGATGGGGCACTACTGTATCCTGGTACTAGCTCACTGATTTCTTGATGTTGTAAAGCAGATGTAATTTCCTGCTCAAGAAATTCCTATCAGTCAAGATAATTGCAGTCCTCCAACCCAGTAGAACGAGTGCTAGGTTACCCATATAAGTCATACCATTACAAAAATATTTTTTTACAGTGGCAGTGGACTTTAATCCCACCAATTTAAAGTGAAATATTGTCCATTTTGTACAAGTATGTTAATTTTTTCTGCCAGAAAAATGAATACTTTGGATTAGGTCTTCTGGAGCATCTCCACAGCACACCAAGCTATCTCCTTTGCCACATCTTGGACTCCGACTCATAAATGTCTCATTAAATATTCTTTTGACATTGGGTTGATCCAGTCACATCCCTCTATATGGTTTATGCTCCCAGATTCTGTCCTTATCCTCAGCATGTCATTTCATAACACATTCCCACAAGCAATTTTAGACAGCATGCCCAGTCACATTATTTTCAGTATTTTTAATGGAAATTTTATTTGTGGAGCTCCACTTGGTTGTTTCATGGCATTATACAAATTGTTGCATTCTTCACAAATTTACCAGGTTTCAGACAAAAACTATAAGCTTATAATAAATTCTAGAGTTTGAAAATCACTAAATTAAATGCAATGATAACTATTTTCCCCCTTAGGGATGTTTCTACTGTTTGTATTTTTTAGATGATTTGTAACTTTTTCAGATCTTCCGGTCATCAGAGATGTTCCATTTGAATTATCTATCATATACATACATATATGTAGGTGAGCCCTCTGTGTGAAAATGAACTCAACGTTCTGAAATAAATAGTTTAACCACAGATAGTTCATGGTTTAATGGTGGGAATGCAAAAGAGGGGGCATGTGGGTTGTGAGGGCGTACTTTCTTACCAAAGGCAAGGTTGTAAATAATAGCATTTCCCCCTAATGAATTAAATATTCATTTGACATTTGCCTTTTATATTTATTACTATGATTGCCTTTATTCAATAATAACAGTTTGATTATCTGAAACATTTAAGTGTGACAAAAAAAAGAAGAAATTATCAAATTTCATTGCACTACCAAAAGGTTCTTTACACAACTTAAACAATTAAGGTTAGCATACACTAACTGGAGTGTTCGTCTTACCTTAATCTCTCTTCTTCATGTCGCTGAGATTTTTTTGACTTTTTCTTTGAGCACCTTTACAGGACAAAAAATTAGTAGATTTAGCATAAAATATAATGCTAATACACAGACATATAAATGCATAAATCTAAGTTTCAAGCTGTTGGTTCTGTCATTGCAGTGCATTAGAAAAGTTCTTCTATACATTTTTTATACACCACTTGCAAAAGTCTTGACTTTTTCTATTTTCTGGGAATCAGTCAGTCTTTCTTCATTCTTTTAAAATGATGTGATCAATGATTCTCCAGGCTCACTGCTTAAAGTTTATTTTTCTTTCTTCAATCTTCTGCTGGAGACTTTATCTCTTTCAGTTATTTACAATAAATATATTTCCTTATGATATATAAATATGCTTTTTAGTAATCGTAGCTCATGTTTGTGACTAGCATAAAGGCATTCATTTTTCTGACCAAGACTGTTAGAAAGCCTTCATCATAACATTTGATTAATCTGATTTCTATTACTACATTACTGTACACAAGTCAACATGCAATATTTATTAAACTGTTATGGTTTGTTTATTTAGAAGTATGTCAATTATTAAAAATAAATATCACCCAAGATACTCAGTGGCCAGAGATGCCACAAAGCCTGAAAGCTGCTCTGGCAATGAGGAGACCAGAATGTGCTGTACCAATAACATCAGCTGGTTCAGGTTTAAAAGTGGATTATACTCAAATTATTAAGTTTGAATGATTAAATTTAAACTTTAGAAGTGTGCAATTTTGATTTATGGGCAGAATGTATGTAGTCCACACTTACATTTTACCTTAACACTTTACCTCAACCATTTTAATTCAGCAACTGAAGTTATTGTCATAATTTCACTTAGATTAAGATATCTGCCCATGAAACCTGTGAACAAAAATATTTTTTATTGAATCCGTAGTCTCTTTTTTGGTAATTTTCAAAGTATTTAAGGGAATTTGGAGATTTCATTACCTTTTGTAAACTACTATGCACATCCTGTAAGAATGCAATAAAACCAGCAACTTACAGTGATCTAATATGCAGTCATATAATGTTAAAATTAATAACAGTACATTAAGTGTACAGTAATGATAAAATGCTAATATCTTGCCTAGCAGTAACTTACTGTTTTACTGTTAATTTAATGAAATTCAATTTAAAATATACTATTAAAATATACTATTAAATAAGTTATAATAAATAAACCGCAAAAACAAAAACAGTAAATTACTGGTGTCCCTGTTGCAAGTAATTTACTGTTTGTTTTTTACGATGAAATCCTTTACCGTGTGATATGATGCTAATTTTATTAAATGCTTTGTTAGCTTAATCCTAGACGCAGTGAGACAATAATAATATGTTAGAGGAACATTTGTGTCCTTTCTAGTCAGGATTGGTTTTCACCTTGTAATCCTCCCATAGATGTAATTTTGAGCAATCTGTTTTGCTTATATTAGATTCATTAAGCCTGACCTTCCCTGAGGCAAATATGACCTTGAATACTTTTGTTTTTCTTATGTGCTGTTTTGTGACAACTTATATTCAGCATCTATTTGCTCTTGGTGTAATTTTGGCATGCCAGTAACTCTAGTAGAAGCCAAATAAATCACTTTGTCAATAATGAATGTAAATGACTTTGACTCTTATCTTTTCGTGAATAATTTCTTTAGATTGAGTTACAACCTATTTTTTAGATCTATTTCTACTGTTTAGAAGTTCTTTGTGTTATCAGCCAAGTTTTTTAAAGTGATTTCTTGATTCTATGTCTCAGGATTGGGTGTCTGCTGACACCCAATCCTGGTAAAAAAAACTTGGTAAATCACAATTAATTCCTGCTCTGTCAAGAGACAAAATTACCTATTTTCTTTTTACAAAGTGTTGTATTCCTTGAAAAATATATACATTTATTTATTTTTTTAATCCCATGTATTTTGTTAATATTCAGGTCTTCTTTGTCTCATAACTATTAAGTGTGACCAAAAAAAACAATGATGGAAGCATTGCAATTTTTTTACGCTCCTTGTTATGACTCAGTTTTTGGTGACACTGACTGAAGGGAGTATTACTGTAGCTGAGGATGCACACAGTCCCCAAATTATATTGTGAGGAAGTTGCCCTTTTGCATCCTTATATTAAAGAAGTTATGCATCGAGAATAGGAACCTTGGAATCAGAGTCCTCACACATAATAATCAGGTAGAAAACAAAAATAGCATATTCTCATGTGAGTTTGTTAGTTCCTATATAATATTGTTGTAGCTGAATGACAGCTGAATGACCCTTAAAGTACAGGGCAGAGATGGTCCTAACCTGTTTGGCACCCTGGGCAAACCACCTGTAAAGATGGCCCCAGATCGCAGCTCTCCTCCACTGGCAAAAGAGGAAGTGAGGGGGTGGGATGTGTTGGGAGTATTGGTGTGATGGTGATATGTGTCTGTGTCACCCAGTTTGTGTCTCTTATTTTATACAAAATGAGCTCGAATTTGTATACTACAGTCTCTAATAGTTGAAACACGAGTGCTTTAAATGTGCAGACGGTGTCCACTAGAAAACTTATTCATAACTGCCAAATCTGAAGAGTCTTGTACCACATTCTCTCCAATAGAGCTTTAATATCAAACATTGAAATACAAGAAATTTGACTACTGACATAGTGTAAACTACAGAAGACTCAGGCTGTACTCAATATTAACAATTTACTAATTGTAATGGTTAAGGATTTCAATCTTGGTTTTAAGCACTGGGCATAAACAAAATAATCTGTAAACCTTAATCTTAAATAATTAACCTAAGACAAATGAACATGCTTTGCTAAATACTTTTCCTAAACACTTATTTGCAATTAGTTATCACAATGACTAAAACACATCACATAGCATCACACATTTCTGTAAATGTGGGGGAAACCAATCTGTTCCACAGTTTGACCTGGCGTCATGCCTTCAAGACAATACACAGGGTAAACCTGACCCACCTCTACCACCTGGCCTCCTGTCAAACACTGAGAAGGATAAATTAACTTGGGGTAATTAACCCTTTTCTAATGTTAAAAATGTTTATAAATCACATTATGACTCTTTCTCCCATTGGATTTGACAACGGATGGGGGTGTGGGGGAGTATGGGGCCGGAGTCATGCCACCCCTTACAAAATTCTGCCCTCGGCATTCGCCCATGTCACCCATATCAGAAATCGCTACTTGCACATGGACAGACTGCAGTCCTCAACATAATCTGAACAGCGTCAGTATTCATCTGCAACCTTTCATCCAGCTGAACAACAGAGGTCACTGTTGTATGGCAGACAGGCACTAATCAACCTTGTAGCTCTGTCATGTACCACTGAATAATTTTCTGTCTCACTCTATTATTCAGATTGATCTCATATCATAAAACTGCTGAGAGCATCTGAAACATATTTCAGCAAAGACAGTTCTTCAACTCACCCTCTGTTGATTCATAATTAAAATTTTGCATATCATTTGGGTGTTAGGATCCTGTAACTCCTACATTCTGACACTCAGAAATAGAACTGATTGGTTATTTTCTTGCCTGATTTCCAACTTCACAATTTAACATACTAATGTAAAGTTTGATGCACTAAAAGAAAATCTGGTGGAAAATATTTCACTTACCAGCACCCCATCATGATTTCTCTCCTCTAAACTGTCCGGCAGTATCAGTCTGTCAGTAGAGTCGACATGTAAAAAACAACAGCACAGTCGACTGAAGGTTTACTATCTCTTACTTTTTACTTCCCAGCAGAACCTCCTTGACTTGTTTCAGGAATGTGTGACTGATTAATCAAAGTGGCAGGCTTTGGCACAGTACCAACAAGATGTGCTTAGTTTTCATACAAAAGAATCAAACAGATCTGGTTTTAAAGTGGTGGAAGAAAACAGCATACAATTTTTAGTAAACACACATAAAATCTAAGTTTAGAAAATGTTTCTGAAACATAACAGAATATACAAAATAAGCAATGCTACCTTTAGTTTACATTTAATTAATCTTTTTATTTATGCAATATCTGTTTCATTTATATCTAAAAATGGAGTGTAATTGCATTTTAAAAAATCCACTGTTCAAAGGACCACAAGGTGTCACCCTTTATTCATTATAAAGAGCTAAAATGTCATATTGGCTTTTCTGCAAAGTCTTCAGCTAAGACACTCATTGGCGAGGATTTTGTATTTCATGAAAAACTCATAAAATCTTACTTCCTTAAATCCATCTCTCTAATATTTAGACCAGCTGATTTTCAGGGTGCAGCTGACCATACCTGGTGACAGGTGGAGGATACATGGAGAGAAAATTGTCTCAAAATACCTGTGTGTTTAATAGTGAATTTGTAATCTGTTTAAGCTGTTTGTGTGTGCAGCTTTACATACAGTTGTATCTCTGAAACATGATTTATAAACCATAAAAAACATTTTGTGTATAATTTCAGGTACTTGTAAATGTGTGGTCAAATGCACACAAACATTAAGAAATTATGAATACAAAATAAAAGTACACACACAATTACAGTTTCTACACACAAAAATTTAACTTCAGCCTCAAATCTGATAATTATGAATTCAAACCTTCTCCGACACCTGCAAATGTTAAATAACATGAGTCGCCTGATACACACAGACAAAACTGCAATGTTTTGTCTGTGTGTGAACTTGTCAACTTGTCTGTGTGTGAAAGTTGTCCAATCAACTGCTATTGAAATATATTTTTCAGTGTTTTGGTTAAAATGCGGGCTACACAGTGGTAGAGCTGTTGCCTTGCAGCAAGAAGGTTCTGGGTTTGATTCCCAGCCCCGGTCTTTCTGCATGGAATTTGCATGTTCTCCCTGTGCATGCATGGGTTTTCTCTGGGTACTCCGGTTTCCTCCCACAGTCCAAAAACATGTCAGTTTAGTTGGCCTCTCCAAATTGCCCCTAGGTGTGAGTGTGTGTGTGCATGGTTGTGTGTGTGTGTCTCTGTGTTGCCCTGCGACAGACTGGCGATCTGTGACCCCGCCTCTCGCCCGGAACGTTAGCTGGAGATCGGCACCAGCAGCCCTCCCAACCCCACTAAGGGACAAGGGTGTAAAGAAAATGGATGGATGGTTAAAATGCGAGACAAACTCAATAGACACTCTTAACATTAAAGCTCTGAAATTTTCAGCTTTAGCTTGTATCTCCCAAAAATCTCTCACGTTTAACTGATCTTTAGCTTTGTTTAGTTTGAATAGAATTGTCCCATTTTCTTAACTAAATCCAAATGATGAATACATATTCAGGTCTTTTTAAGCCTGTCCTCCCTTTTTTGGTACGGTGTAATTCTTAAAGTTTTGCAGTATCCCCATCTCAGCCATCATGTCCTCAGTAGTTTGTTCTTTCCTAAAGGTTGATCCTTCGCATGCTGCAGATCCCCGTATAACCACGGCCTGTCTTTAAGTCTTGTAGTCTCCAGTTACAAGTGCACAAGGATTTTTGAGATTCATTTTATGCTTCCATTTTATGCTGGTGGAAACCTGGGTCGTCTGAGTTTTACTCAGAATCAAGTGGTATTATTCTCTGAAAGTTTGAACTTGTGCTGAAGTGGCAAAGATGTTATTTCTGTGGTAAAATGAATGACTCAGCACTCTGTTTCAATATTCCAAAATTGTTCATAAGGTGCATCAGAGACAGATCCTAACACAGGTCAACCAAGACACAAACGGAACAAATAACCATGTACACACACACATACAAACACACACTTAAGGTCAGCTTATGCATGTTTTAGGTTGAGGGACGAAGACAGAGTACGGAATCCATGCATGCATAGGGAGAACATGTAAGCTCAGGGCTGTAAGACCCTGGCCAGGGTTTGTAAGTAATCCTTTTTTGCTCCAAGGTTAACAACTGTGCTCCTGTACAGCCCATTTGTTGAAATTTACAGCAGAAGCAAGAAGAATCCAACAAGCAGAGCAGATTACATGATTAAGTTCTCATCACCATTTCTGCATGTGATTATTTTTTAACATTCAGTACTTTCAGTGCATTGTTGATTAATCAAGACCAACTGTCTCCTGATAAAGATAGTTCTTTAATTTTTTCTGAAACTAAACGCATGAGGTTAACAACTTAGAATGCTAAACTAAAGACGCCAAAGACGAGATGAATAATTGGATCCTCTGGAAATTATTCTTCCTTTATACAACAGCATTACTATTGTCTTTAAATGTGTTTGTTCTCATCATTTCCAGAGAAATGGGTATTTATAAATAAGTGTGGAAACATCTGAGGATCTATTCTGTGGAAGGCAGTTAGTAGACATACCTGAATAGAAGGCTATAAAAACTAATTAAATTCACATCACATCCTCATATTTTTCTGACATGCCTATTAGTTTCAGCAGTAAAAACAGATCTGAAAGCAAAACAGAAATGCTTTCTGAAAAGTAAGCCATTGAGGTGTGTTCCTTCTCACCATGAAGATCTTTCATTTTATGAAAGCAGTTATGATATTTGTTTCAGTTTGAAGCCATTTTCTCCAAACACAAACATGCTGAATGCATTGTTGAGAATATTATCATTAGAAAATGTAACATCTACTTCTTCAAACTAAATATTTAAATTTGTTTTAATTAAATTACATTTCGAAAAGCTATTCAAAATGTAAAAAGATTTTAAACTAATTCATTATCACTTATGGCTGAAAAAACAGTCACAAATTGCTATGAAAGAGGAAAAGCAATTTAATGCACACATATATCTAGCATATTTAAATAGATGATCTCAAAAGTCTATACATCCAGAGGTTTATGGGATAAAATGCAGTTTGCTACTCAACTATCAAAGGATTACAACTACCAAACTATTATGGTCTTTCTGGGCAGCTCAGATCAAGGCAGGGTAGCTTCACTACCAGACTGCGTGGGTCAGTAACGAGTCACAGTGGATTACTATTCCTATCAACTTATACGTCTACTCATCAGACAGAAAAAAACTTCTTAAACAAGCAAAACATCTTTTCTCAAAAATACAACAATGATGTGGCAAAAAGGACTTGATTATTTGGGGAGAGAATAATTAGCAGTGTTCTCACACATTTTTAGCAACAGTGATTTTCAACCAGCTAGAGCAGACCCAGGTTTTAAGCTCTGGTCTGCTAAGGGTATAGCTTAGGTGTTGTCTGTCTGATCACCGATTACCGATCTTTGAAAAGCCTGACCTATCAATTCTGATTTTGGCTGATACAGATATTTTTTGTCTGCAATGTTGCTAAATACAGTGAGCTGCAAACATGGAGACATGACCTGCTGAGCCAGTCTATCAGCCAAACCTCTCTCACAGCAGAGGACAGTGGTTGACTTTTAGACCATTGGCAAGTGTGGATATTTATCCTTTCTCAATGCTAAGTGCTTGATGTATGAGGTTAAGGAAGAGTCAGTGAGTTGAATTCATGAATTCCATTTAATAATGCCAAAAATACAGCTGGTCCATAGTTCATGCTATCCTTAAGGGCTAGCAGAACAAAATCGCATCAAACAACAGTTTGTAATTCCCTATGTCAGCCTCTGTCTAAGCTACAGCCTAAAGAGAGCGTTCCCTAGTGTGTCATCTCCTTTAACCTTAGCTTTGAGGGTGTTTCCCATGTAATTTCCTTTAGCTGTATGTGTGTAATGCTAGTTAAGGTTAGGGAGGTCCGGGATCCGTGGCCCAGGTTGCGGGTCTATCTCCCTTCTCCCCCTCTACCTCACCAGAGGCACGAAGCCTGCCTTACCAGAGGCACGAGCCTCTAGGGCCTGCATGCTGGAGGATTTAGTCCGAGGAGGTGTGCTTAAGTGTGGGTACACAGGTGGGTGTGGTGAGCCTAGTTATCTGGTCGGGGTTACAGGCCTGGTTCTCAGCCTGGATCTCCAGGCCCAGTTCTCAGCCTGAATCTCGGAAACCACCTTTGGGCTGCTCTTCTGTCACCTGCCTTACCAGGGGCACCAGAACGGACCGGACCAATTCGGTCCCCTTTGACCCCAGAAAAAGCGGTCGAAACTGGCCGCAACCTATATACTGTCAGCACCGGGGGAATCCAAGGAACATTGTGATTGTGTCCGTTTTTCTCTAGACCCTTCCCCCAAATTTATATTAATTTTTAACCGTTTTCCGTGAAACCAGTCAAAAATGCACTTTCCCGGGGTCCGATCGGAGCGGGACAGGGATTGTTGAGCTCCAGACATTTGCCTGGTCACGGAGATACCACTCCCGACAGCCTGGGTGCGAGTAAAAAATTCGGACCTCCAGAGGGGGAGACTTGGCGGTGAACCTGCTGCAGATTGAGTCCGCCTGCTTGCATGGACCTCCCGGTTAGCTCCACGGCCGATCCCCAGTCCTTATGTAGCTCCGTAAAAAACAATAAAAAGGCATAAAACCCTGGCAAACCATATACTGGGCGAAAGCTTACATCCTGAGGAACCCGCTTTTCAACAACAAAAACTGCTGTTACCAACACTAAGTGCTTAATAAACACAATTTGATTTAAACGTAACTGGAAAGAATTTTTCTCTTCTTGTTAATCTAACAATTATCTTTCTTTTTTTTATTTATTGTTGGCTTTCAGGGCCCTGTGATGGACTGGTGACCTGTCCATGGTGAACCCTGCCTCTCATCTAATGGCTGCTGGAGATGGGCACCACCAGCCCCCCTCACCACCCTGCAAGGATCAGTGTGTTCAGATCATGGATGGAAAGATTTTAAGGTAG